ATTTATTTGACAGAGAGAGACACAGCGAGAGAGGGAACACAAGCAGGGGGAGTGGGAGAGGGAGAAGCAGGCTTCCTGCCGAACAGGGAGCCCGATGTGGGGCTCGATTCCAGGACCCTGGGATCATGACCTGAGCCGAAGGCAGCCGCTTAACCGACTGAGCCACCCAGGCGCCCCCATTCTTTGGCAATTCTTAATAGCCACCTAATATTCTACTCTATTAACGTTTGTATTTTATTTATTCAACCAATATTCTCAGTAGACATGTGGGGCAGGGGGTTCCCGATTTTTCACTGATGTGGAAATGAAGCAATCGACACGCGCGTCCACACATTTTATAAGCCTGGATTGTACAGGCACTTCTGTCCCTGGTCGAGGAGTGCTAGATCTTTATAGAGTTTTCCGTGTATATTCCTGTCTCTTCTTCCAGCTTCTAGGAATTTACCTAAGTGATCAAGCAATCAAGTGAAGAGATTTATATTCAGCGCAGCACTGTTTACAGAAGTACTTCTGGGAATAACCGAAATGTCCCACCAACAGGGGACTGGATAAAGAAACGCTGGCAGAGTCCAGAGAAGATAAAAGAGGATAAAGCACATGTCCATTTCTTAAATCAGTGGAGATTCCATACGTGAGAAGGACAGATGATGGACGGATGGATGGAGATACATCTAATTATGAACCTTTATTCCTTTACTGAGTATGTTCTGTGGGCCAGGCACCTCCTCGGTATGACACATTCTTTACTCAATTCTCCCACTGACCCTGAGGTGGACCCACTATGATCCCCACCTTACCGCTGGGCAAACGGTGGCTTTGTGAGGGTCAGGGTGGAGCCAGCAAGCTCTCCTGGCCTCTGCCATCCTTCCCCGTGCCCGGGGGGGGGGGGCGGTACGGAAAACCTGACGGGTGGTATTTCTGTGCTGATTTTGTGCTAGTCTGTATTTTAATCTTTTATTATCTTCATAATTAGAATAAAATACCTCATTTCTTAAAAAAAAAAAAAAATCCCCTTCCTACCCTCAGGAAATGATCCAAAGAATGAAGAAAATTCTACATCTGCAGGTAAGCCCAGCAGTACAATCATAATCAGGGAAAGTGGGTACAACGTAAACACTCAACAGTAAGAGATGTCATGTGGCCTTTAAGAACAATTGAGGAGGAATGTTTAATGCCATGGAACAATCTCGAGATAAAAGCAGATGTAGAATCATCGAAAACACACGGAGACAGGCCCCTCCAGACCAGGAGCAGGGCTGCAAACTAGCCCCAGGGCACCCCCACTGCCTCGGGGCCTTGTTTCCTGCCTTTTTACACTTTTCTCTGTGTGTTCCCCAAAATGTCTGCCATAATCACTCTGATAACGCACACAGAAATCCAACACTCATGTTGACAGTCAGCGGTTGAGCAGGGAGGGCTGTGGGTTTGGGGGGAGGGTGCTGGGCTCACCAGCGGCCCGAGCCCAGGGAACTCAGTGACCTTGAGCATCCTCACCTGCTGCAGCTCGAGCTGTCCCTTCCCCTGCCGCATGATGTTGCCCTTTTCCAGCAGCTCCTTCTGGGTCTTCTCAAACTCTTCCTTCCCCTGGAGGCAAGGCACAAGGACTGGGCTGAGCCAGGAGCCCGCCAGCGGCCTGGGGGAGCTCAGGGCCCCTCAGGCAGCCACCAGGAGGCACTGCAGGCCAGGCCCAGGCTCACATGGCAGGCACCGGGCCCACAGCAGGGACAGCTTCCGAGAAGGCGCCTCTCTGGGGCCCCTTTCACCAACTGCCAGCCCAGGGAGGGGCTGGGCACACTCCAGGTGGCCAGGCCATCCTCCCTATCCTAGCTCCCATACCAGGAATCACATTCAAACCCTTCCTCTTGGCACACAGGGCCTGTTCACCCAACCCTGACCACTGGGCCTTGGCACCTGCTGACTCTCAACCTGGAATGCTCCCTACTGGGGCACTCAGAGGCCTACCCCTACCCCACCTTCCCATTTCCCGGTTTTCTTTCTTTCCCCGTGCCTGGTAGGAAATCCCTCTCCCCACACAGAAGACAGCTGCTTCTGCCCTGCTCACTGGAGAAGCCCAGCTCCTGCAGGAGCTCAGGAGCTGTCCCTGGCTGGCACTGCAGGGCCCCTGACGACACGGCCACGTTGGTCCAAAGGCCAGAGGGGGGTAGAGGAATCGGTTTGGGTGGGGGGGTGCATCTGGCCTGGAAGGTCAGAGAGAGGGCACAGGGACTCACCGAGGCCTACTGGGGCCCAAATTCTCTTTTGGCCACAAGAAGGCTCCGTATGGAGGGGATCAAGGTCCCCATGACAGGAGTGGCAGAATTAGAGACCTGAGAAGGCCAGCAGGCTCCCCCGGGGCGTTCCCCCAGGGAGCCGGGATGGGGCAGGCACTTACCTGTAGGTGGACGTAGTCGTAATCCTCCATCCAGCCCCCCTCACTGTTCTCATACTGCCCGTCCGGGGAGTCCTGGGAGGTGAACTTAGGGGGTGAGGGCAGGGGCCGGGACTGGATGCTGCTGGCCTTGTCGATGGGGTTGGGGTGCAGGGGGCCGCCCCCCTCCGGCCCCGGCACGGGGGCCTTGGTCCGTCTGAAGAGCAGCGAGGCATTGCCATGCAAGAAGGAGGCCAGCTGCTTGGCGTCCTCGGGCACAGCCCGTGAGCAGGCCACCAGGCGGTCTAGGTCTTCGGGAGTGGCCCCGGGGCCTCCCCGGCCACCGTCGAGGGCCTGACCGTGGGCCCCCAGTGTCTGGTACACATCCTCCATCTTCTGCAGCTGCCGGCTGAGCTTCGCATGCAGAGTGCGGTCAGAGGTGTGGGCGGCGTTGCCTATGGCGCTGCGGGCAAACTCCAGCAGCTCGTGGACGGCGCCCTGGACGGCGGCCACGGCGGTGCGCAGGTCCCGCACCAGCGGCTCCTGAGGCTCGGCAGCGCTGCGCCAGCCCCCGCCGCCGCTGCCCGCCAGGTCCAGGAGCTGGGCCACGGTGGCGCCGACGCCCTGCTGCAGCCGCACCAGGGCCTCCACGGCCACCTCCAGCTCCAGCGGCTCGCGGCCCGGCCCAGCGGCCTCCAGCGAGGAGGCCGACTGGCTGCTGCGTGTGCTCCCAGTACTGGAGGCCGACAGCCGCTTGGCCTCGCTCGGGGCCTCCCGCTCGGCGGGCGGTGGCACTGCGTACACGTTGTCGTCGGTCGCACTGCCGTCGGCCGCCTCGGCAGGAAGCAGCCGCTCGCGGGGCACATCGTACAGGGTGCCAGGGCCGGGCCGCCGCAAGCCGGGGGGCACGTCATAGAGGTCAGGAGCGGGTGGAGGCACGTCATACACATCCTCGGCCGGCAGGGCGTCCGGAGGGGGCGCAGCAAGGACCAGCGGGTGGCGGGCTGGGTCAAAGGGCTTGGCCTTGGCAAAGGCGGGGGGCACGTCATAAGTCTCCTCACGCAGCAGTGGGCCATCAGGCACGTCCTTGCTCACTGACGGAGGAACATCATACACCTGGGGGCAGAGGAACGGTCAAGGCCGCCGCCGCCCGCCCGCCCACCCAAAGATTCAGACGCAGCACACTTCATCCCAGTTCATACCCACACAGGTTCCAGCCTGTGCTCGACATCCTGGCTCCAGGGCTCACTAGCTGTGTGACTTAAGGCAGGCGACTCAACCTCTCTGTGCCTGTCTGCTCAGCCGTAAGATGGAAGAACTCGCTCACAGGTCTGCTGTGAGGATTACATGGGTTCATTCACTGTGTAACTACAAACACTCGGTGGGAGGACAGCTTCCACACCCCCCCCACCCCCTCACCCTTGTGTATTCTCTACTCCGTGGCAGGAGCTTGGTTGATTTAGGGTGACGACACCCTGGTTCACCCAGGACAGCCCTGGTTTGTGCCTGATGCCCCCTCATAATTAATTACTGGTCCCCTTTCACTCCCGGAAGTGTCCTGTGTTGAACGATAAATCCTGTGGTCGCCTTGCTAATATCCTGTGTGATCCTCTCAAGAACGTGCTAAAGGCCCACGAGGGGCCCTGGTGTAGACGAGGAAGCGGAGGCTGGAGGAGCACTCGATTTCCACTTCTGTCACAGAGTGAGGGAGGGGCAGAGCCGCTGCCTGCGGTCAGGTCTCTCGCTGCCTCCAGGCCTGCAGACGTGGGACCCCCAACCCACCCCCAGCACACACTCCGTCACACCCAGACCCTGTATGTCCATCAGGCCTCAGCCCCCGACTGCTCACCGCACGGTGGCTGGACAATGGCAGGCCCTTCTCCACGCTGGGGGGCACATCGTACACATCCAGGGACGGATCCCGGCCGCTAGGACCCCTGACAGCCATGGGTGGCGTGTCATAGACCTGAGGCAGAGAAGGTGCAGTGACTCGGGTGCTAGGGCCACCAGCGGAGACGGGAAGAGCAAAAACTCCGCAGCACCGACCCCAGGACCACCCTGGCCAGGGCAGAGGAAGCCCACCTCCCTGAGCGGGGCCGGCCCAAGGTCCCCTCAACTCCCAGACCCAGGGCCTACCTCTTGGCTATACTGGCTGGGAAGCAGAGCCCGAACTGGGGGCACGTCGTAGATGTCCTGGGGCCCCGGGGCTAGCAGGTGGCGGGGGATGTCGTACTCGTCCTGCTCCGGCTGGGAGGCCTCAAACACATAGCCCTGCCCCACACGGGTGGGCACCACCACCTGGGGGCAGAGAGCCAACTGTCACCAACCTGTCACCACACCCTCAGGTCCCCAGGGAGAGTCTATGCAAGGGGGTGGTTTCCAAGGGGGGGCTAGGAGGCCCTTTGCATCCTCTACCCTTTCTTCAATGTGACGCAGCATCTGGGGAGCACTAGAACCCCCGTGGTTTGTCTGGAGCTGTCTGGCTCTGGCCAGGAAATGGCAGTGCTCTACAGCTGGATGACCTGGCAAGTCCCAGAAGAGGGTCCAAGGGGGCTGACGAAGAGGGTCCGCCCATGACTGGGATGGCCCTGCCTGACACCTCCTAGCTGCCCCCTCCTCAGAAAGGCTGCCCAACACGGGGCCGCCCCCGCTGCAGGAGCCAACAGCCCCCTCCTAGCTTTGGGACAGACATGACGGTGCCAGGCTGTGCCCACCTGGAGGTGGCCTGCAGGAGGTCCCAACAGCTGGGACCTGGGGCCTCCAGAAGGTAGTGCTCCTGCCCTCCTCATCCACCAAGCACATCCTGGGGAGACTCCGGAAGGCAGGGCCACCGAAGACTCCCAGACCTCAGGGCCAGTTCTTGGGCTATGCTGGAAAGTTGGGTGTGGGTGTGAGGGAGCGGCCAAGACTAGAGCCCAGACCCCCGCACTCCCCAGTACACCACACCCACGGGGCTGCCGACACCACCATAACCCGAAAAGGGTAAGAACTTAGGGGATGCTGGCCTAGAGAAGGAGCCAACACATTCCCCTCTCTGGTACCCTTCCCTGGCCTGGCATCCAGGACAGCAAGCTGCTGAGAGCCCTTCACACCAGCCTCTTCTTTCCGGGCAAGCACCCTGGCCCTGCAGGAGCCCGCGGCCTAGTGGGAGGGGCTGGCAGGATCTAACCCCGCTCAGGGCACGCCTCCCCCACAAGGCTCCATGCTCAGCGCTCTGGGACAGAAAGGCCTTTTGTTCCCTAGTCAAAGGGGATGTCTGGAACGGAGTTGACTCAGGCCCTCCCCACACACATCCCTGGGGGCAGCAGGGCTGGCCCTCGGGCTCGATGCCCCCAGAACCCTGCACCCCGTGCCTGCACTGGTCCCCACGGCACTGACAGCCGGCTCCGCACGCCCGCGTGTCCTGTGTATTTGCAAGCACTAGGTGCTCCAGGAGCAGCAGAGGACCCCAGGCCTGGGCGTGGGCACCGGCACTTTCCTGCTCAGCCCCGGGCTTGGCACAGCCTCTGCCGCTGCACCCCCTGCCCACCTCCCAGGCAGCACAGCAGAACCGGGCCTCGCCGTTAGCTGCCAGGCCAAGCACTTCCGTGGGGTATTCCCTGCCCACCACACCCCACCCCCAGCATGTCTGGGACTGGAGTTGGCGGCCCTCCCCAGACTCATCTCCCTCCCTGAGCCCCAGACTTGAGTCTCCTCCAGAGCTATTTTTAGCCGCTAGAACCTGCCAACGGACAGGACAGGCGGGGCAGGCGGGGGCAGGCGGGACGTGGCAGGTTGGCAGGGCTTTGAGGCGAGACCCGAGGCGTCTCCAGGCCCTGCGAACTCCAGGAGGCAGGCAGGTGGGGAGCCTGCCCCACGAAGAGGGGTAGGGAGCCGCTCACTCCGAGGCCCACAGTGCCTCCCGAAGACAGAGAGAACAGGGAGCATAGGCGGAAGGCTCTGGGGCCGGACCCCAGGCCCAGGCCACGGGCAGCTTGCCACTCCGGCAGCTGAGAGGGTGACAATAAGCAGCTACACTGGCCAGCAGACGCTCTCCGTCCGGAAGAAACTGTAAGGCAGCCACCAGTGAGGGAAAGCTTGTTAGGGAAACCTACTCTCCAGAGAGCTGCTGAGCCCACTCATCACAGGCTGCCCTGCTCTGCACCTGAGGCCCCATTAGCAGGCCCCCGAGGCCCCCGGGGGTGGGGTGGGGTGACACAGCCAGAGCCTGGGAGGAGACACAGAACCCTTGACCCAAGACCCACGCATACACATGTCAACAGTGCAAAGAACACACAATACCACACGAAGACACACAATAGACCCAGGCAGGGCCGGGCCCCAGCAGGGCGTCTGTAGAGCATGCGGGGTGGGGTGGGGACTGGGGGGTATGTGAGCCCAGAGACCCCACTGGGAAAGGCCACACCCCCTGCCGCATTCTGCTTGGGCCCGCAGTCACCCTCCAGGTAGCTCGGCTACTGGTCTCCCCCTTCCGCAAAATGGACGTCACCCCATGTGACCCAGGCTGGCTCCTGCTCTGGCATCCCCCCCACCCCCCTAAAGCCTCAGCTGCTTCCTCTAGAGCACTGCTGGAGTGCTGTGGGACCGAGCAGGTGACAATCTAACCTCTCACCCAGAGCGAGGGACATGCTGGACACGGCCCCCTTCCCAGCTCCTGGGCTCCCCAGGAGGAACAGGATGGAGCTCAGCTGTGTCTGCCCAGCTGTCCCCTTAGCACAGCTGCGGCCCCTGACCCAGAGGCACTGCCCACAAGCGACCTCACAGAAACACCTCCCTCTCTGGGGCCCCGCCTGCTTCTGCCCTCAGCTCTGCCCTCAGCGTCCTCCAGCCACACCCCAGCCCAGAGGCTGCTAACGCTGTGGTGTGGCCCTGACCTCTCCCCCAGGCCATGCGGGCCACGGTGCCCCAGGCTCCAAGCACCTGACCCTTCCCCTCCTGGCCAGCGGCCTCATCACTCACCTCTGGCTTCCTGGGTAGCAGGGCCTCCCACCCCACCCACAGTCCTGGCAGGGTCCCTCCTCACCCTACCTAACCTCTACCCCTGAACTAAGAGCCTCCGCTTCCCAGACTTCTGAGGAGGAGCACATGGTTTATGAAGCACAACCTTGAAATGTGGGCAAAGAAGCCTGTAGCGAGACGTTTACTGTCTCACTGTTTGTACCCCAGACCATGCAATCAGGCCCCAAGGGGAGGGGGGGACACAACAAAATCTGGGGTGCCCATCACAATCACCTTAGGGACCCCATAAAATGCTCTTGAAATCCGTGGAACTTACAGTCTCAAAATGCAAAAGTGTGCATACAAATCCACGCGAGACAGATAAAGAATATGCGATAGGTAAAATGATCACCTCCTGACTGGGGAGTCTCCTCTCCAAGTTTTTTCTTTTCTTTTTTTTTAAGACTTTATTTATTGATTTGAGAAAGAGACCTAGAGAGAGAGCACAAGCAGGGGGGAGTGGGAGAGGGAGAAGCAGGCTTCCCGCTGAGCAGGGAGCCTGATGCAGGGTTCGATCCCAGGACCCCGGGAACACGACCTGAGCCGAAGGCAGACGCTTAACGACTGAGCCACCCAGGCGCCCGTCTCCGGGCTTTTTCACACGTTATGTATTTTCTATGACAAATGAGCACCGCTTTCATGACCCTAACATAAAAGCAGACGCTCCAGAGGCTGCCCAGGCCAGGAGCAACAAGGCTTCTCAGGGGAAGGCAACACGGCCCCAGGACAGAGGGCCGCCCACCAGGCCAGGGCCCTCAGGGACGCAGGCTCCGAGCAGCCCTACCACTGGGCCCAGCCAGTTGAGCCCAGATGTCACCTAAGAGCCAGCCCCTCGCCTGGGAGGGACACAGAACCCAAGGCGCAATTGTGGGCTCAAGTCCACAGCCCAGCCCGTGGATCTCGCTGCTGCTCCCTGGCCCACAGGCTTCCAGCGCTTGGAAGGACAAGGGCACCAGGACCAGCTTGTCGGTTAAGATTCAGGGAGGGAAGCAGGAAGGAGAAAGGGCATGCTTCCCCAGGGTGTGTGCAAACCGTGGATTTTGTGTGTGTGTGAGACGGTGACTGAGTGTGAGTGTACGGGGGGACAGACTCCAGCCTGGCCCTAGGCTCGGCAGCCAGGCCCTGCTCCCTGCCCCCTCCCCGGCAGGGCTCTGCTTCTCTCCCTAAAGCCACCTTAGGAGTGGCCCATCTGGGCTCTTCCAGTCCAGCTTGGCGTGCTTCTGTCACTGGCAGGCTCTGGCCAGGCAGCTGAAGGGGCAGGTAGGGCAGGAAGTGGGAGCTAGTGACCCTGGTGGCCAGCGCCCATGGAGCCTCACCCTCAGCCAGCACGACCTCTGGCCAGGTCTCCTGGCCGCCACGCCAGGGGCGTGGGCAGGGTCAGGGCGACACGAGTGCCTGCTGACTGCGGCCCAGCTGGACTGGGGGAGGCTCCCATCTCAACCCTGGACAGGCCCCGAGGACAGAGTGCCCACCCAGCCACCGTCTCTCCGGCCACGGGCAGCTCTGGAGGAGACCTGGTCTGGGCCACAGGGAGCTGATCCACAGAGGTCGGCAGCTTCTCCTACGGGCCGGCTCCTGTGCCCTGCACCTGGCCTCTCCCACCAGGGCTTCTGGGGCACGCTGCCTGCCGGGGTCTCCCCCTCCGCAGAGTGCTGGGCTGGCTCTGAGGGCCCTCCCCGCCAGCATGGGCTGGGTTTCTCAAGGTCCTCCTGGGCGAGCTGGAATGGAAGAACCACATGGAGGAAACAGGGAGAGCCGGGTTTGGCAACTCTGTCCTCAGAAGTACGTGGGACACCTCCTCTGCTTCTGGGCTTCCAGAAACTCCACTCCGCAAATCTTCAAGGGACTTGGGCATGGAAAGACACAAGCCAAAGGCGAAAAGAGGCTGCTCCCGACTCGGCCGAGAGCACGCAGTGGGACAGGGCCTCCCTCTTCAGTCTGCCTCCTTGCCACGGGTAGATGGACTTGGGGGGACAACGCGCAGGCAGGCCTGCGTGGAGCTGAGGGTGCTGCCCTTGGGGCCCTGTCCCCCGGCCCAGTGTCCCCTGGCAACAGCCCACACGGTGACCTCTGAGAGGCCCTCCTCTGGCAATCCCACAGGCATCCTCCTCCTCACGGTCTAGGCATCACACACAGGTCACTGTGCCGGCCCACCAACACGCTCCGGGAGAGAAGGGGTGGGTGCCCATGGAGCCAGGCACGGCCGGAAGATGTGCTCCAAGCCCACCCACAGAGCTGACACCTACTCCCAGAGAACTCATGGGAGCCCCTGGGCACAAGGTGGCTGGCCTCTCCCCTTTGTGTTCCTCCTTTCCCTGCTGGCCGGGATGCAGACATGCTGGCTGGAGCTCATGCGGCAGCCACCCGGGCCCAGGAGATGCAAGCCCCGGGCTGAGGACTGTGGAGTTAAAAAGATGGGCTGAGGTGTGGCCCCTGATACTCACGGGGGCGCAAACCGTGACATGGGAGAAAGGAAAGTCTCTTATGCCATCTACTCCAATGGATTCTCAGCCATTCTTACCTAACCGCTATACGGAGCTCCCTCCTTCCAGTGCTGCCCCCAGGGACACCTCCCTCTCCTGGGTGCTCCCCACCCCCCCACCGGGCCCTGTACCCTGCAGTCTGTGGGCAGAACGACTTCACTACAGCATGGATTAGGCAAGTCACTTCTACTCAAAACCCTCCACCCTCAGGCAGGAGTCTGGTTCTTCAGGAGCATCAGGGCCCACGCTGGGGTTGGTCCCCAGTCTGCTGCTTAGGCTTCATCTGCCAAGTCCTGCCTGCCCACCCCTTCCAGACTTCCAGGCCTTTGACAGAGACTGCATCCTTTGCTGGGGACACCCTCCCACTGGAGTTTGTCTGCTGAAGGCCACCTCAGGGTCCAAGGCCAGCTTGGATCTCTTTGCTGGGGGGTGCCTGTTCATCTTCAGTAGCCAGATAACGCAGTCCCCAAACACTCACCTCCCATCTTGGCCCAGAAGAAACATGCAGCTGTTGCTGGAGCCCTAGAGACCCGAGGGGTCTGGCCTGGGCCCAGAACCCAGGGCCTGGGCAAAACTCCCAGGGGATGGATTGCCCGCTCAGGCCAGGACAGCCTTACCTTTGCTGGTGGCTTCGTCCCCTCCCAGCTGCGTGCGTCCATAGATGGGGGCACCTGGTAGATGTCATGCCCTGTCCCGGCAGCAGGTGGCACCTGGTAAATGTCCTGGGCAGGGCTGCCAGGCCCTGGGGGCACCTGGTAAAGGTCTGGGGCTGGGCTGGGAAAAGGGTGATGGGGCATCTGCTTCGAGAATGTAGATGTCTGCTTCGCTGGGGGAGACTGGAACTGTGGGCTGGGCCCAGGGGCTTGGTAGAGGCCTTGCTGAGTCTTGCTGGGGGTGGGCACCAGATAGACACTATCGGGCTGGGGCTGGTATGTGGCAGGAAGCATGGGCGTGTACTGGGCAGCCGGGGCGTGGAGGCCAGGCTGGGGCTGGGCTGAGGTGGCGGGTGGGCCGGGTCCGGGTCCTGCTGGCTTCTTGTCGTGCATGCCCACCAGGATCTTAAGGCGATTTCCAGGCACTATGCCTTGGCGCCCATGCAGTGAGCAGAGCCACCAGCCATCCAGGCCCTGTGTGTCCCGCTCCAGCACGGTCATGATGTCGCCCTTGCGGAAGGAGAGCTCATCCGGGGACTCGGCCACGTTGTCATAGAGGGCTTTGGCCAGCACATTCTGGGGAGAGAGGACACAGAGGGGCATGAGCATGTATGCCAGGGGCTCGGCAGGTACCCAGCTGCCACCCAAGGCAACTCGTCTTGGCACTGAGAAAGGAAAGGTTTGAGGAGATCCTGGAGCCTCTGCCCCTATTTGCTCCCAGCAGAGAGGCCCAGCTGATCCTGGCATTTTTCAAATAGGCCTGACAGTTCCTCAAAATCCTCCCGACTGCAGCCACCACCTATAGTCCAGGATGGCACTCAACATACTCTTGGAAACCCCTCCAAAGTCACGCTACAACGCCGACCAACACTGGGGAGGACAGCAATAATGACAATAATGACCAGCACGTTCTGGGAAGCAAACAGGATGCACACCCTCCCTGCTCCAACTCCACGGCCCTGCAGCCCTGCCAACCGAGAGGAAAACACGGGAGTGTGCGGAGGGGACCTGCAGGGACAAAGTGGTCATCATCTGCAGGCCACATGAGCATCTACGTAATAATTCCAACAAACCAGAACCAGCAACTGATGAGAAAGAAATACAGAAAAGCCCACACAACAGCAACAACAAGCTACTAGTTACCCAGGAATTAATCAAGCAAAGACAGCAAGAGACCTCAGAGCAAAAAATGTGTACGTTCTGCCAAAAGGCTCAAGGAAAAACCTGAATAAAAGAGAAAACATACCAAGTTCACGGTGGGATGACTAAGCACTATAAAAGGCCAATTTGCCCAAGCTTAGTTAATAAGTTACAATTATAACAAAAATGCCAGCAGGAGATTTCTTTTTTTTTTTTTTAAGGAATTTGACCAAAGAAAAAGAATCCTAGAATAAATGGAGAAATAGAGGTCCACGAATTAGCAGGTCAGTTCTGGAAATGAAATGCAAAGGGGCACGCTCTTTTTAGGCTGCGAGGATGTGCCAGGATTCTGGATCGGCGCACGCGCCCGGGACCAGTGCCCCAGCACAGGGCTGGCGGATGGCCCGGTGGATGGCAGAAGCCCCGGCAGCGACCAGACGGCAGCACCCCAGGGCAGCTGGGAAGGCCAGCGCTGCTTCACGGGTGGCGTTAGGAAACTCACTCACCGTACGAGGAAAAATCAATCTGCACACTCGCCTCACCTTATAAACAAAAGACAATTAAAGACCCAAAGGTGAAAGATACAACTCTAGCTCTAACAAAAGAAAAAACTGGGGAGAATATCTTCGCGACCTCGAAGTGGGGAAAAATTATGAAATACAACTCTAAAAACAAAGACCGCAAAAGCACAAAACCTAAGGTTAACAACAAGGACAAACAGACGGATTCAACCTCACCAAAGTGGAATGGTTTCTACTGGAGAGGGAATAACACAAAGCTGACAGGGTAACAGGTCACCAAATGACAAGAGCGGGATGAATCCAGAATCTGGAGCGTTCTACAGATCAGCAAGGCAAAGACAAGACACCAACAGAAAACCAACAAGATACGAACAGCGTGCTGCCTGGAGGGGAAAGGACTGGCCAAGAGCACTACGAAGGCTGCTCAGGGTTCCAGCCAGCATGTGAGGCCACATCCGCGACTCTGCTCTGGGCTCCAGCAGGTGTCCGGGATCTGGTGCGGAAGGCCGGCCACACCGTCCTGAGTAACAAACCCAGAACCCTTTATGTAAACATTATAAACGTCCACGAAACAACTCTACGTATAATTTCCCAGACACTTACCCCAGGACAGACTGCACACATGAAACTGCCTGCATGCGTACTTCTGGAAAAGGGACAGGCGGCAGGAGTCAATGAGGAAACACAGCAAACCAAGAAAGGGTCTCATTCGGACAGTGGAGGGCCAAAGACGAGCAGCACCCTCCCCCGGCCCTACCTTTACCCTGTCATTCTGCTGCTAATTCTCCCGGCCACCCAAGAAGCAGGCGCTGCTCTGGGGCTCTGTTAGGCAGCAAGCCCTCCCGGAGAGGGACATGAGCTCCACGTGGCCCTGGTAGAGCCTACACTGCGAAGCGGCCTGCGTGGGACCTGGGGACAGCCTTGGGGGGAGACTGGGGTAGAGGCAGGAGGTCCCCAGCACCAAGCTGGCAGGCCCAGAACCTCACTGGCCCTGGTGTCTCAGTTCTCAGTTTCTGCCCTGCTGCTCCCCTCAGGCAGGTGCCAGGACCAGGCTGGACCCAGAGATATCACAGAGGGTCCCCAGCACAGGGATGAGAGGAGACCAGGGCTGCTTTGGCCTCCCAGGGAGGGAGGAATGGGGATCACCTGGGAGTCCATTTCTCCAGAGCCACTCAGAGCCTCCAGACCCAGAAAGAGCCAGATGCTGAAGCTGGGAACCAAGAGGGGCCAGGCTGGGGGGAGAAGCCAGGCCAGGTGGGCAGCTCACAGAGAGCACAGAAGGCAGGTTCACCCCGGCCCCACGGTGAGCACCGGGGCAGAGGCCCTCGGAACCGCTAGCTGCTGCGACACTCTGCCCACGCCATGACTATGATGGTTATATACGCACCGAAGCATGGATCATGCCTCCATAAACTGTCACTTGAACTTAAAAAAAAAAATGGAGAGAGGGTAAGAATAACAGTGTGAATGTCTGGGACAACGGGGGATGCTTTCTCTTCCTGTTTTTCAGAATTTCTCAGTTTGTATTTAATGAGCACTTCTTGGCTTGGGGTTTGAAAAAAATACACATCCTGAAAAAGTACAGTGGACTACCTCCTAGGCTCCAAGGCAGGATGGAACAGGGGAGGCTGAAGCAGGTCCTGAGGCCGTAGCCCCAGGAGGAGTGGGCAGGGGCAGGGGCTGTCCTGCAGCCCAGGGGGGCCCAGGGGCCCCATCCCCAGGCTGCCTGCAAGAAAAGCAAGTTTCCCAAATATGGTCTGCAGCCTGCCTGAGGGAATCACATCCCGTCAGGGGGCGGGACACCCGGCCCACCCTCCCCCTGTGACCCCAGAACACAGAGCCACCCCAATGGGTCCCCCCCCCCAGCCCCTGCCCTGGTGACCACAGGAAGTGCCAGCAGAGTGAGTCACAGGAAAATTCCCCTCCAGCCCAGTCAGAGGGGGCGGGGTGCAGACGGAGGGGACTGCCCCTCAGAGGCCCCTCACCTCTCAGGAGGACAGCCCAGGGAAGGCTGGCAGATGGGCCTCAGCCAGGCCCTGCCAGGCAGTGCCGTGCGCTCAGGAAAGCTGGAAGTCTCTGCAGCGGGCAAGGTCCAGTGGGGAAGAGGGAAGGAGGGAGAGAGTCTGCCCAGGCCCAGGAGAGCTACTGGGGCCTCCTGCGCCCCGGGTGGCCAGCCCCCACCCCCTTGGCGTGAGCTCACGGAGCGGTCAAGGCCAACAAGGGCTGCAACTGTATAGTCTGCGGCGGCTGGAGCCAGGCTGGGAAGCACCTCTTGGGCTGGGCACGTGGCACAGAGCGCCTGGCACCGGGAGCTCCTCCGTCTGCATCAGCGGGTGCCCCCACCCGGAGCCCCAGAGGCAGCCTCTCCACAGCCCAGCACCTGAGTCCTAGGCACTGCTGGTGCCGGGGTGCTCCGGCTGGCCGAGCACCCCAGCTTTGGGCCTCTAGGCCTCCCCAGCTGTTCCCGAGACACGTTCCTCCTCGCTCCCCCACCCTTCGGATTCACTCAGCAGCAGCTAAAACCAGTCCTGCGTCTGGCTCTCCCTCTACTGCTGGGTGACTCTGGGCAAGTCCCTGAGCCTCTCTGAATATCCAGATCCCCCGTGCTAACAGTCCGGTTTCACAGGACTGTTCCTTTGTTCCACAAAAGGTTTGCCCGGCTCCCGCTCTCTGCCAGGTGCTGGGCCAGGCTCTGCAAGACGGTACAGGCCTAGCTTGTCCAGGCCCCTGCCTGCATGGGGCTTACGTTCAAAGGCAAAAAAGAGCCAACGATTTGTTAGGGCAGGGGGGAAAACCAGGGCACCTAAAATAATGTGGGACAGGGCCACTGCATACAGGGCGGTCAGAGATGACCTCCCCAAAGAGGTGACATTTCAGATGACTCGTGAAGACTGGAAACCAGGCACCATGACACCGGCTAGGGAAGAGCACGCAGGCAGAGGATAGGCATGAGCCAAGACCCCGGGGGAGGAAGAGGCTGGAGGGAGACAGGGCTGTGGCCCTGGAGTGGCAGGCAGGCTGCAGCCAGTCACACTGCAGGAGGCTCCGGGACAGCGCCTGACAGCTCAGTAAATGTCATGGAATGGTGGCGCCCCATGGCAGGGCAAAGCCTACATACAGCACCTGAGCATTTCTGCTCTGGACACACTCCCCAGGACCCAGTGTCTCGCCCCGGCATGGAAGAGGGGCCGGCCCCCCAGAGCCTGGGCCGATCAGGTGCTTCCCCCCACCTCGTAAGGGGGCACACCGCCAGGGTGCCATCACAGTCTGGGCAGACACTGCCAGCCCTCTGTGCCCAAGGGACCACAGACAGTGCTACTGACTTACCCCAGGGTTCTGGCAACCTCATTCCCGCCTCAGGAAACCTTCCACTGTGCCCTACTCCTCCAGGAACGTTCCCATGCCCCTCCTTGGGCATGCACTCCCTGTCACCCCCAACTCGAAGTGCTGACCAAAACGTCTTGTTGCTGCCTACTTCGTGCCCTCTGACCCAGGTGCCCAGGATGGTGGGGTGGGGGCTGCGTCCTTCAGCATGGAACCCTCAGGCACACGAGCTCAGAGCCTGGCCCTCCGTGGGCAGGCTTAGGCAGAAATCCCCCTTGCAGATGATGGTATCCTAGCCTCCCTGGGAGCAGCTAGGAAGACCATGTGGGGCTCACTCACCCCAGAGGGAAGGGGAGAAGAGAACCCCCAGCCTGATGCCAACACTCCCCAGGCAGTGACCTGCCAGCCAGGCCTGCTTAGAACAACACCCTGGTTGTTGCACACGGGAGCCTACAGGTCCGCCCCACAGGCCCTGCCTGGCTCTCAGAATAGCCCTCATTGTGTCCTCGGGCCCTGTGGGCACCAGACCCACCCGGGCCGGGTGGGCTCTCAGACATGGAGTCGCTGGGCCTTGGCCACAGGCGGGCACATGTCTGGAGGACGGCAGCAGCCATCGGACGGCTTTGTGGGTTTCTTCCTTGGCTTCGCCAGTGCCTTGGGGAACGCTGGATACGCTCTCGGTACCCCCAAACCCTGACTCTGCAGGAAGGCGTGAGCTGGTGGCTGGGACTGGTGAGGAGAGACAAGATTGGCAGGTTCACAGTAGTAACAATAATGACACACTGTCAGGAGCAGGCTCTTTTGCATACTCAGTCCTCCCTTTTAGCCTTATGAGACACTCGGATTACTTCCACCTTACAGACAGGGAAACCCTTGACTTGCTAGGGACACAGTCGGCAAGCAGCAGAGGCAGACCTGCACCCTATGACAAAGCAGAGCCAGATAGCTCCCGGGGGGATGCTTAGGTTCCTGCAAGCCAGGAGTGGAACTCAGGCCTTTTCCTCCACCCGTGTCCCTCAGCCCCCGCCCCACACACACACACCCCAGCCCCAAGCATAGAGCTTTACACACAGTAGTCACTTGGGAAACACTAGTTCCCTTCATACCCAGAACCGTCTCACACTTGGGCCAAGATTATTTCTGGGGCATTCTGTTTGCTTGTCCCAAGGAGCCCCCAGTGGCTAATGGACAGAGGCCCAACGCACGTGTGTGTGAATGGCAGTCTGCATCCACAACCTCTACTCACTGGTGCCCTGGGAATCCCCCTGGAAAAGCAGCAACCAGGGGCCCAGTGGTCAGGGTCCTGACCATCCCCTCCCACTCTGAGGGCAGTCTCTTCCCTTCCCAGAAGTCCTCACACCCTCGTCCTTGGTGGAACTCTGTCCCAGCCAGCCTTATCATCACTCCCTTAATACACCCAGGAACAAGTGAGTAGCCAGGGTCCGGGCTCCAGTCCTCAGTGTTCGACCAGCAAGGAGCAAAACCGTGGGCAAGCCTCTATTCCAGAGCCATCTCCAGGGGAGCGCGGCTCCTGCCCTACCCACCTCAGGAGTGCCTGAGGCTCAGAGGACAGAGCTGGGACCGTGCGCGGGTCCTCAGCCCCGTCTGCCACTCAGCACCTAGAGGGCAGGGCTGCTGAAGGAAGGACTGGAAACCCACGAGTGCTGGCCACACCAGCAGCTCCCTCACACAAACACGAGCCGGGCCGAGCCTTGGCTGCAGCGGCAAGAGCAGATGCTTCTGTGTGCCGGGCCAGCTCTGGGCTGGAAGCAGGACCCTGCCCCTGGGAGGCTGGGCAGAGAAGGAAAGGCGGCATGGGCAGGGCCCTCCCACCGGAGTACACAGCACGTGCAGCCCCTCACACACCTCAGACGGCAGCAAGCAAGCTGGAGTCAGAGCCCTGTATCCTGCAACCCACTCCAACTGCTAGCAGCTTGGGAATGGTCCCCGACCCCTTTAGAACCCTCACCACTGCCACCCAGCCCAGGCAAGTGACCCAGGATGGCAGAACCCAGACCTGCGCACTTGACTACCCATTACTCTCCTTCTCTGCTCCTGGGGCCTTGCTGGGAGGACTCAGGATTCTTGAGTGGGCTGGGAGGACTCAGGATTCTTGAGTGGGCTGGCAGGTTCACTACTGGGATTTAGTCTCTCACAGAGGGCTCCACATGAGGCAGACCTTTACTTCGGGGACCACACCAGCCCTAGATATGTCATCGTGGAGGGGAAGAGGCAGAAGGAACAGCCCCAGCAGGGATAGGAGGGACCCCAGTTTCTCTACCTTGACACCTAAAGCCCCCTGCAGCTCTGCCACTCTCAAGTCCTGAATGGTAACTCGCAGCAACCCTTAACCACCTCAGCAGGAATGGAGGGGGACACAATGGTACAAAAGTGGGGTTCTCACTCAAATAAAAGTACCAAATCCCTGATTTCTGGGATGCACAGTAGAGATGACGGTCTGAGATGGGGCCCGGCCATCCAGGCCAGTAACTCACTCCTTACTTAGAAGTGGAAGGAATCAGGGCAGCAAGACAGAAGAGCCAGGGCCTCTCTCCCCGGCCCAAGGGCCGAGCCCCACCCCCTTCCCTGAAGGGAGACCACCTGTTAGCCCCTTATTTGGGGGCCCTGAGGGCCCAGCGAAAGAGAAGTTTGCCCAGTGTCTCTGCTGGAGAATGATCCCTATCTCCCCGGCCCTACACCCTGCCCTCCAAATGCGACTCCAACAGTGTCCCTCACCCCTCCGAGAAGCCTCCCGGGGAGCACATCTGGCCTCTGGTTCGGGCTGCCCCAATTGTCTGTGGGCTCCTGGGAGGAGGGGGAGGGAGTTTTCCAGGCCCACGAGCACAGGGTGATGCGAACTCCTGAAACAATGGATGCCACGAGGGGACCACAAAAGCGCCGTCCTGGACCCAGAAGGACCCCACCAAGCTGGCCGCCAGTAGAGCAGGGCAGCACCCCAAGGCCCAGAGCACTCCCAATCTGGGGGGAAGGGGGGCTAGAGCACACTTGAGGCAGAGCATGGCGCTGTACCGGGAGACTAAGTTCTGAATTCAATCCCGTGTGAACAAGTACCTGCCCCTCTCTGTGCCTCGGTCTCCCTATCTGTATGACAACAGGGAGAGCAGCTGTCTCAGGGGCCTTTCCTTCTCAGGATGCCCGAGTGGCACTGACCTTACTTCAATCCCCTGTCCAGGCCTGAGGAGATGGTCCTAGCAGCCCGAAGCCCTCACACCCTGGCTCAGCACAAACTGTAATGGCCAGAGGCTCCAGGTCTCCTCCTGGAATCAAGGGTGACTGTCCCGGCAGAACCTGGCACTGCCCTGCCTCCACCCAGTTCCCACAGGGCCCCTTCGTTGCCCGGGGCAGGTGGGTAGTGGGTGCTGCTGCCAGGAGGGCATGCCAGCAAGCTCCTCCCAAGCACCCAGCACACACCTGCTCTTCTAGGCCCATCAGCCCTGCCACCCTGGGACCCCACAACATCAGCTCTCCAGCCAGGAGAGGAAATGGGCACAGGACGTGTCCCTCGGCCCAGAAGGATGAGGAACATGTCCCAGCCTGGCTGAAATCTGCAGAAGAGTCACGGCAAACCGGGAGAGTGCCTCCCAGCCTAGACCCTCATGGTTGGGTAGGGAAAAAGAAGCTCCATGTCCTCAAGACTGACAAGTGAGCCACCACCCCCAGTCTGGGATCCAAGACCCCCAAATCTCCCCAGGCACTAACTGGCCCATGGACCCCAAGCACCCCAGCCCTCAGCAAGTCTCAACTTCTCCAACTCCTTCAATACTGCTCTGAGCTATGCCTCCCGCAGCACTGAGGGGCTGGGCACTCTGGGGGACCCCCCGAGTGGCGGCCCCGCTCCTCCCCCCAGCTCCCCGCGCTGGGACCTCGAACGCTGGGACCCAGGGTCACGGTGCAGCCCTGGACTCCCGCCGCCAAGATCCGGCTCCTACCTCAGCATTTGCAACCAGGGTAGGTAAAGGCGGAAAAGCGCCTGCCCCTAGGCCTGGAATCCAGCGCAGACAGGCCGGGGGTGAATCATTAACAGACCGAGGATTGGCTCCCCGGCAGCACCAACACCTCCTCGGTCACCACGCACTTGTTCGCTCAACCCCTAGCCTGGGGGCGGGGAGGGGCAGCTCCCCACTCCAAAACACACACAAGGACCAAGGATGGACCACCACCCCGCGTCCTGGAAATCCACGCCTCCTGGAAGTTCACGGTCCAAGGAATCTCGGACCTGTCCCTATAGCTGAGGAAACTGAGGCTCGGAGACGGGTCTCGCAGGCCCAAGGTCACCCAGCAGGCGGCGACCCGCAAGGGGAGAGCGGGACTCTGGCCAGCAACTTTCCCGGATCCAGGAACTTTCCTGCCGGCGAGCGGCCCCTGAGTCCCGCCCTTCTAACCGCCCAGTGGGCACACAGGCTCTGGGATCCTCCGCAGTCCTCGCCTCCGGGTGCCCCCGCCACGGCGGGAGAGGGGTTCTAGGCGGCCCCGCGGAGGATCCAGCGGCCAGCGGTTCCCAGGACCCGCAGGTCCGGCAGGAAATGCCACTCATTTAACTCTTTCAAGCTAGGGACCGCCCAGCCTGCCCCGGGACCGCCTCAAAGCCGGTACGCGGACGCCGGCCGGCGCTCGCAGGAGCACGGACCCCGCCCCGCGCTCCCGGACCCGGGCCGCGTCGGCCGCACTCACCAGGTAGTTCATCGTGTCCGGCCGGCCTGGGGCCCCGCCTCCCCGCGGGGGCGCACAGCAAGCTGCCCGCGCCGCGCGCTCTCGGGGTTCCCCGCCGGCTCCTGCGCGCTCCCGGCGGCCGGACTGTCCGGCGGCTCCAGCCCGCGCCGCGCATGCGCCGCGCCGCCCCTCCCCCTCCCGTCTCCTCCCCGGGGGCCGCGTTAAAGGCGAGGACCCCGGACCATGGCATTTTTCTGTCGGCCCAACGCGGCGAGGAGGCTCGGTCTTCACCCTTTACCCAACCTTCAAGGGCCACCTCGAGTCGCACCATCTCCTGTTCTCCCACCGGGTTCTGGAGACCAGAGCCCCCACCCCCCACGTTGCCCAAGCCCACGATGCTGGGCGCCTGCCCTGTGGTCTGGCGGGGCTCCCAGTCCCTGTGTCTGAAGGCGATTGCAGGTCAACCTCGCAGGGCTCCTAGAAACCCTCCCCGCTCCTCCCGCTGAAAGCCCAGAGACCCGGGCACCCCCACGCTACGCTGCCCAGACCTCCTCCGCCCGCTCTGCCCTCCCCCGCGGCCCCTCCCTCGGTGGTGGGGAGCTTCCGACTGCCTGGGAACAGCCTAGCGCATTGTCGGGTCATCCGACAAATAGAGCTGACAGATAGAGCTGGACTGGCTTTTAGGGAGGATCCTGCCTCCCTGTAACCCCCACTCAAGGGCCACCCACAGCCAGGCCACCCAGAGCCAAGGGCCAGCCCTTAGACGCTGGAAGACGGGCCTTCGCGGCCCCAGCCTTTCTTCCCCAAGGTTAAACATCCCCAATTTCTTCAGCTGTTCCACATCTGCCATGGTGTCCACAGATAGCGGGCCCATACCTGTGCGCCCTAATTTCCCACCCCCTGCCAGGTGGGCCTTGCTCTTCTCATGTTACATTTAATAAACTGAGGCTCTGAAATCCCTCAGCAACCAGAAGGCAGAACCAGGAGTCTGACCACTCTGGCCTGCCACTCATCATATACAGCCTGTCCCTGTTCCCTCTGTTTCCCAGAGAAAGGGCTGCTACCACCCAGTAAGGATGAGTGAGCACCTAGACCAAGGTTCCGGGGCTGGGTCAGTCCAGGGAGATCAGCACCACTGCCACCCCCTCCCCCACCCCTCCATGGAGGAAAGGTAGAGCTGGCTCCATGAAGCTGGCTGGCCGCAAATGTGGTTCATGGCAGGACCTGGGGGACAGAGCTCCAGCCCTCTAAGACATCTGTAGGGGCAAGCGCCCAGGGCTACAGGTTCTTTCATCCGCCAGGTGTGCAGTGCCAGGAGTCCTAAGGTCATTGAACAGAGGGGAGGAAGTACGGGTGAGGTGAGCTTTCTCGGAGACCTAGATCCGGCCCCAGCTCCCCAGGCCTCAAAACCCCCCGTTGGCAGGTCATCCACTGGGGTTTAGGAGGCTTTCCAGCCTTCTTCCCCGAGAGGTGGGGCTGCCTTGGTCTTTCTCTAGGATGCTCCTTGGGAGAGTCCTAACAGTGGTCCCCAGCAATGAGAGGGGTACTAGATGTGCAAGAAAGGGGGGGAAATCGAGGCCTGCTATGAGGCCCAAGTCCCAATTCTAGGTCTGATGAGCTGGGGTCCTTTCCTGTTCCACCTAAGCAGTGTTGCCCGCCCCCTTGAATGGGCATTGTCAGTTATGCACCTCAGTTTCCCCAGCCCCAGTGCTCGGTAAGGCATTGTTGGAGGGAGCAGGCAGGGCCCCAGCAAACAGAGGGGGTCTGGGCCGACAGCTGCCACCTCCTCAAAGAGCGCTCTGTGTGTGTGTCTGGCAGGCAGCCCTGCCCGTGCCCACCCGCCCTCGTCCAGCCGGCACTGGGGCTCCCGAGCTGGGGGCAGCAGCTCAGCCTGGCGCCTGGGCTCCCAGCCACATGCGCATGCTGTCTCAGAGGCCCCCACGGCCACCCTGGCCCCTCCCTCACTGAGTCCGGGCTCCTCCTCCTCCCTTCTCTCCTTTGGCTGGATTCTTTTCGCCCACTGTTTCTGTGTCCTCTCGCATCAGCCCCTTCTCTAGGTGCCCAGGCCAGAACGGGCTAGCAGTGGGAAAAGACCCCCTCCACACCCCTGGGTAGAGGGAAATGGAAACCCAGGGGAGGGGTGCAGCTGGGGTCATGACCTCCAAACTATCTAGTCCTTGCCTCCATCTGGTCCCCAACAATGGCTTCCAGCTGCTTATTCGGGGAGGGTGTCTCTAACTCATCCCTTAGCACAGGAAAAGGGATCCCTGGCCAGAGCCTCACTTACTCCAAGGCAGGGACCCAGCACCTTGGGTAGGGTGTTGTACCCCACCCCCCACAACTGCATCCTCCATTCCCCAGCAGGCAAATGATCCCAGGATGACTCAGTCCCACGGAGGACAGGCTCTGGGGGCCTCACGACTAGTAATTCACACGAGAAGCAACAGCTGGGTTGCCTGAGCAGTTGCCAGCACCCCGAGAAGATCCTTGAGGGCCGACCAGGGCCCTAGGGAGACAATGGTTATTGCTGTTCCTGGCACTGGGAGGGAAGGGAATTTGGACCTGGCCACAGAGTAATTTGGGACAGAGACAAGCTTCATACTCAGGTCTCTGGACACCCAGGCTTCTGTTCCTGGACCTTGCCATGTCTAGAAGGCAGAGAGGCCTGGGAGGTGGCTCCTTCTCCCCACCCCCACCCAGGGTAACCAGGGACCTCTCTAACAGAGGGACTCCTGGCCCAGGAGCACACAGTGAGCCTTTCAGGGCACTTGAGGGCACCGTGGGATAATCCTACCGTGACAAATGCATTGATGACAAATGACAATGACAAAAGCATTGTGCTTTTGTCACCACTGAGGAACTAACATTGGTAACATCCTCATTAGCTAATGTTCACACTCTGTTCAGACTGCCTGAGTTTTCCCCCACTGTCCTTGTCCTTTTCCTGTTCCAAGATCCCATAGACAATCCCACATTACATTTAGCTGTCATGTCTCCTTATGCTCTGCTGAGCTGTAGCCATTTCTCAGACTTTCCTTGCTTTTGATGACCTTGACAGTTTTGATGAGTATTGGTCAGGGATTTTGTGGAATGTCCCTCAACTGGGATTTGCCTAGTGTTTTTCTCATGGTTAGACTGGGGTTATGGATTTTGGGGACGACCTCAGAGGTAAAATGTCATTCTCACCACATATCAAGGATAGATACTGTCAACGGGACAACTTATCACTATTATGTTGACCTTGATCACGTGGCTGACACAGTGTCTGTCAGGTTTTCTATTCTGTACTCTTTGGAAGGAATGAGGATTTATGCTCCATTTCCTGAGGGCAGAATATCTACATAAAAACATTTGGAATTCTTCTGTGGGAAATTCCTCTCTTCTTCATTTATTTATTCATTTATTTATGTCAGTATGAACTCGTGGATATTAATTTTATACCTTGGATTATAATCCAATACTACTTTATTTTCTTGCATGTATTGACCTTGCTTTGGCGATAGGGAGTTCTTTCAGTTGGTGCATCAGATTTTTCAAGAGAATCTAGAAATCCAGATGTTTTTATAAAATCGCTGGCTTTTGAAACGTTGACTGAGTGAGCCAAACAAAATGCTTCCACAGGCCAACCCCAGGCAGCTCTTGGCTCCGGAGTTAGATTACCTGGTTTGAGTCCTGCTCTGCTGCTTGCATCTGGATCATTTTGTGCATATGCATAAGTTAATCTGTCTGGGGCTCTGTTTCCTCATCTGTGAAATGGGAGGATAATACTTCCTGGGTGGTTGAGAGGATTCTATTGAATGACTCTGGGAAAGTTTGGGGCACTGGACCTGGCAAGAACCCTTGCTTTGTAAACAGCAGGGACCATCATGGCCACACGCATGAGCCAGGCATTTAGGTTAAGCAGCTTCCTACGGAGAGCAAGATCTGAGCTTGTTTGAAGGAGACCTTTTAGGGTTGGGGGTGGCCAATGGGACCCTGTGAACTCTGGAGTGGATGAGACCAGGAACTAACACCCCAACGCTGGTTTTCAACTTAAGAGTTGAGTTCCACTACTCTGTAGTAACACCACATTGACAGGTGAGGGAGTACCCAGACTAGAGTTCCTTTCTTACTCTAAAGTGTGAATGACTACCTCTCCCCGGACGGCAAGTCAGCCTGGCACAGAAAGAGACGCTCACCTTAGTGAAGTGGATGGGGAACCCACTGGCCCACCAGGCGAGACCTTGGGGTTCTGTCTTGGCATCACTTCAGACTTATCCTGTGACCTTAAGCAAGTCCAGGTTCCAGTATCCTTGAGGGTAATTCCACAGTCTCCTTGAGGGTGGGCCCTAGGGGCTAGGGCAGGGCACTTCCTTGTCTCTCCCCCATTCACAAAACCTTCGGTATGCTCTGCCTGAGAAGCACCTGGTTAGGAGAGGGGGTGATGTGCAGGTCATCAGGTGACTGGCTACAGAGGGAGACCATCGTGCCCTAAACAAGGTGGCTTCAGGACCTGGTGGCAGGAGGGAGATAGATGTATTAGTTTCTTACTGACGCTGGGACAAATTCCTACACACTTAGTGGCTTACAACAATACGAACTTTTTTTTTTTTTAAAGATTTTACTTATTCGTTTGAGACACAGAGATACAGAGAGAGAGCAAGCATGAGCGGGGGGGAGGCAGAGGGAGAGGGAGAAGCAGGCTCACCTCTAAGCCAGGAGCCCGACGTGGGGCTCAATCCCAGGACCCTGGAATCATTACCTGAGCCGAAGGCAGACGCTTAACCATCTGAGCCACCCAGGCGCCCCAACAATACGAACTTCTTATCCTACAATTCTGGAGGCTGAAAGTCCAAAACTGGCTGGCAGGGCTACCTTCCTTCTGGAGGCTCTAGGGGAGGACAGCTTCCCTTGCCTTTTTCAGCTTCTAGAGACCGCCTGCATCCCTTGGCTTGGGGCCCCGCATCACTCTGACCTCTGCTTCCATCCTCCCATCCTCTCTGGCTCTGGCCCTCCCGACTCCCTCTTAAAAGAACCTGGTGACAATCGTGGGTCCATTCAGGTAATCCAGGACAACCTCTCCATCTCCAGATCCTTAATTTAATCAGAGCTGCAGAACCTCTTTTGCCTTGTAATGTAACCTAATCATAGATTCCGGGGGTTCAGATGTGTATGGGAGGACCCCTGGCCCTGCAGACTGCTCCCCATCTGGGCCCTAAGGCCTGAATCCTGGCGATGGCTGAGTTTGGCCAGGGCAGAAATCCTCTTACTCAGCTCAAGTGGCATCTCTTGCTGTTCATGGGAATAGCTATAACTGACCTATTGCTCCCGCATAGCATCTGGCAAGACAAGGCAAAAAACCCCAACAGGCAGGGACCCCTTGACCCCAAAATTCCAGGAATTTATCTTTAAAAATGCACTCATGAGTAGCCAAAGATATACATGGAAAGGCTATCACTTGCAGCTCTCCTTATTAACATGGGAACAACTTACATATTCAATAATGGGCTCCATTTAAATCGTGGAATATTTACATGATAGAATCCCATCCTGGGTGTCACCACCAATGATAGAGAGTGACATGGGAATACATTTATAATATGCTGTTAAGGGAAGAAAAATAGGCTTCCTGAATAAGTATGGTCAGATCCTATTTTCATAAAAATTCACATATTTATATTTATGTCATATATTTGCGTTGGGAAAAAATGTGGAAGGGTAGATAGCACAGTATCAGCTGTGGCTATCTTGGGGTGGGAGTGAGATTTTGTTCACCATGTGTAATATTTAGAGATGGCCTACTGGGAGGTTGATTAATAAGTAGGGTTTTATCTGTCTTCATGGATTGGGATTTCACAGGAGACTGTTTTTGGAGGAGGGAATGGGGTTTCGGTGTAATTAAAATTATTTTCTCTATTTTCCAATGTTTTTTCAAATGAACATCATTACTTGGGCATTTTTTTTTAACAGTATACACTTTTTTAAATGGTGGTAAAACATACATAACAGGAAATTCATCGTTTTAACTGTGTTTTTTTTTTTTAAGTTTATTTATTTAAGTAATCTCTACACCCAATGTCGTGCTCGAACTCACGACCCTGAGATCAAGAGTCACACACTCTTCCGACTGAGCCAGACGGGTGCCCCCATTTTATCTTTTTTTTTTTAAGATTTTATTTATTTATTTGACAGAGAGAGACACAGAGAGAGAGGGAACACAAGCAGGGGGAGTGGGAGAGGGAGAAGCAGGCTTCCCGCTGAGCAGGGAGCCCAACACGGTTTCGAGCCCAGGACCCTGGGATCATGACCTGAGCCAAAGGCAGACGCTTAACGACTGAGCCACCGAGGCGCCCCCCATTTTAACTATTTTTAAGTGTACAATTCAGCGACATGAAGTTCATGCACAGTGTTGTATAATCATCATTATTATCCATCTCTAGAACTTTCTCATCATCCCAAACAGAAACATCCCAGGGACGCCAGGGTGGCTCAGTCGGTTAAGCGTCTGCCTTCGGTTCGCCTCATGATCCCAGGGTCCTGGGATTGAGTCCCACATCGGGCTCCTTGCTCAGAAGGGAGCCAGCTTCTCCCTCTGCCTGCAGCTTCCCCTGCTTGTGAGCTCTCTCTCCCTCTCTCTGATAAATAAAAAAAAAAAAAAAAAAAAAATCCCAAACAAAATGTCTCCATTAAACCGTAACTCCCCTTCTCCTCCTTCCCCAGCCCCTAGCAACCACCATTCTACCTTGTGTCTCTAAGAGTTGGCCTGTTCTTGGCTAACTTTTTTCTTTTTTTTAATAACAGTTTATGAGGGAAACATGAAATTGCCAAGTCCTAGGAAATGCAAGCCACCGTGGATGGGTTCCTACAGACACTCTGGGGCCTGACACCCAGGAGATGCAAGCAAGCAGCCATCAGAGTAAGGCCCTGTGGCCAGTCCCACGCAAATCCTGCCGCCCGGTCGCTGCCCCCCCGCCCCGCCCCACCCCCAGCAGGCAGGAGGCAGAGGGGAAGGGACTTGCCAAGAGCTCCCAGAACAGGACAGCTGAGCTGGGCAGAACCCCAGGCTCCCACCTCGGCTGGCTCCGAGGGCCCTGGCCGCCAGCCTCCTGGTTTTCTAGGATGTTTGTAAACACCCAGAGACCAGAGCCTCTTCCAGGAACAGGCCTGCGTTCTCAGTGACTGTGACAAGTGGAATTTCACTGTCCACTGGAAACAATCCCCAGGGCGTTGTGTTTCTGAATCCGAGGATGAACCCACCCGCCTGAATAGTATACATTCTCTAAATTAGTAAAGAGCCCGAAAGAGCTGTTGTCACACTGAGGTTACCACTGCGAGTCCCCAGAGCAGCGGTCCGGTGCTCAGCGAGGCAGGGAGGCCGGGCCCCCAGCCCCCCAGGGGCGCTGGGAAAGTCTCCCTGCTCCCGGGGACTGAGACTGACCCTTGTGGAAACAGGAAGGGACTCACGGTAGGGAGTGAGATCTGCACTTTGGCAAGAACCCGGCCTCCCTGTCACCTTTGGCCTCCAGGGGCAGGGCAGGGCAGGGCCTGGGTTCTGGTCCTGCCTTGTGAACTTCAGCATGGTGTTTCTACTCCAAGCACGTTTTCATCCCCTCTGTCAAATGAGGCTTTAGTAAAGCAGCAAAGCGGCCCCCAGCTCCAGGGAGCCCCCTCCCTATTTCATTCTATGTGAAAGCCGCCCCCACCCCCACCGCCGAGAATTGAGCAGTACGTGGCCCTGGCTCACACGTCCTGGAAGGCCTGGGATCCAGGGCATGTAAGGGCTACTGGGGCCCCCAGCGCGGAAACACCCGTTAAACGCTGCTGTCCGAATCGCTGACTTGTCTCTCCGCCCACCAGCCGGCCTTTCCTGGCCCGGAGCTTTCTACTTCTCCTGCTCCCCGGAGGCAGCCGCGGCCCCACCCATCCTGATGGGGCTGAGAAAAGGGGAGGCTAATAAAGATGCTGGAGGCTGGCCCACGTTCTGGCCTCGAGGGTGACTTCTGGCAAGTTCTTTATACAAAGCCCTCGGGCTCAATGTTTGATGGGAGCAATGTCTGGCGGAAGGTTCTAGAAAGACAAGGCTGCATATCACCCAGATGACAGACCTTCCGAGTGGGATGGAGTGATGCTTGCTGAGGGGCAGCCCTCCAATGTCAGGCTAAGACCTGGAGACACAGTGAAGACCCGGATGGAGGAGTGGAAATGGGCTCTGCCCTCCTGGTCGGCCTGTGCTGGCAGAGGCTTCCTGGAGGAGGCGCGCTCAAACAGGAGCTTGAAGGATGAGCAAGAGTTCAGGGGGCCCGTGTGGGCAGCAAAGCCGGTGCGGAGAGGGGCTCCCCTCCAGGGTCCAGCAGCCTGAGCGCCACCTGTTCCTGGGGAGAGACAAACCAAGGTTTCTGAAAGCAGACCCTCAGTGGGGAGGCCTGCATTCAAACGCCGACTCTGCCATGCTCTAATGTCCCCCACCTGGGCCAGTCGCCCCTCTTGGGACCTGAGTATCTCCTTCTGGGCAATGCGGCAATTGCATAGAGGGCTCAGAGAGGGTGCTGGGGACACCTGGGTCCACCCATTTGGGGGGTCTACTTCTGTTCCCTTAGAAGGCTGCGTCTTCCTCCGTCGTTCAACCATGTCTCCATCTCTTGGGGTATTGTAAGGCATCAGACCCAGACTCCTGCTGGGAGTCTGCATCCTGATGGAAATCCGTGGCTGGGGGGGGGGGGCCCTGGGTGATAGCCACCTATGCAAAAATATTGATTGTGTACCTAATCTGTGCAAGACATCATAGGGGTTGTCATATCCTAAGAGCAGAGCCTGAGACAGGGATTCTTTGAAAGTAGCTTCTTGAGAGAAGGGGAGTGGGGCCAGAGAGAACGGGGAGGTCCAGCTTCAGCCTGGCCTCCGGGGAGCTCTGGAGTGACTTGCACCTCAGAACTGGTCCCACCTAGGGGGCGGCCCGTTAGGCTACACACTGACCACTGCCTGGCGTGGGGTGGGGAGTAATTTGGGCCAGGAGGTCCCATTCGGCCAAGGATACTTTTCCAAAGATGCAACAGCTGTGAGCAGGGAGCAGCCACCTCTCCCCGCACTTGGGGTTCTGGGCCGTTCCACAGAGGAGAATGGGTCAACCAGTCTACAGTCCTACCGGTTCTTCTGCCCTTAAGGAGCCACCAGCTATTGACTTTCCTGTCCTCACCGACCCTTGGGCATATTTGGGGAGTTGCTTGCAGAAAGGCCTGAAGAATAATAAACAGGTGGGGATAGGATTTCTGGACAACCCTTCCTGTTGCTTTCTCCCCCTCGAATCCCGGCAGCACCCCACGCAGTGTCCCCTTCGGTGTCCCTGGACACTCCAGGGAGGGAAAGGCTCAGCCCAAACCGTGCCCTGTCAGGAAGGAGCCCTCAGGGAGAGGAAGGGGCTTCGTCAAAGCACCACAGAGTTGGGGCTAGGACCCAGGTTTTCTGATTTCTAGTTCTTGCCCTGCTGGGGAGAAAGCCCATGTAAGGAGGAGCAGAGTCTCCCTTTTGTGGCGGGGGGGGGGGGCGGGTAGCGGGGAAAGCTCCCTTGGTGAGCCGAAGCTGGATCCCCTCTTACTCTCTGGCCTCTGGGCACGTCGCTTTAGGCTGCTGAATAACCCAGGCCCCAGCGAGACTAGGGAACAAGGACATAGCAACCCCTGGGCCGCCGGCAGCCTGAGGGAGACTCACTGCCGTGACTCAGCTTGGAGAGAGGCTGCCCGAGAGCTCTGTGCATTGTGGGGTATTGTTCTTGCTGCCAGCTTCTCAGGCTTGTGAAAGGGATGCGCCTTTGGGTTGATTTAATTTAATTTAATTTATTTGAGAGAGAGAGAGAGAGCAGGGAGAGGGGCAGAGGGAGAGGGAGAGAGAGAATCTCAAGCAGATTCCCCGTGGAGCAGGGAGCCCGACGTGGGGCTCGATCCTATGACCCTGAGATCACAACCTGAGCCAAAACCAAGAGTCAGATGCCCCAACTGACTGAGCCACCTAGGTGACCCTTGGGTCGGTGTTAAATGGTTTCCTTCCAGATAATCCGTTTGTTTAGCCATCTCCAAGGAAGGAGGCTTCAGCAGCCCTGAGGCCCAGGGTAGCCTAAGCCCAGCTCATCCTGGGGGGCCTGGGGTCTTGCTGTAGTTGGCAGTGAACCCGTTTGCCATCTGCAGGCACAGAAGCCCAGATGCGCTCCGCTCTCCTGCTGCCCCAGCCTCACTGGCTCCCTCTTGTCCAGGGACGCACCGAATGAGGCAGTTGCCATGGGCCAGTCTGCGCAGCTTCGTAACTGTCAAGCAAAAGTGAGGCTGCGTGAGGCAGCCAAAGTTCACAAAGAAACAATGGTGCCAGAACTGACGCTTGGGGCCTGATCCCAGGTCAAGGTCAAGGTGGTAGACCTGGAGAACACACAAAGGGGTTGAGATGAAAAAGGGGGCCGGAAAGCCATTGAAAGGAAGGGGAGAGGCACCTGGCTGGCTCAGTTGGTAGAGTGCCAGACTCCTGATCTTGGGTTTGTGGGTTCGAGCCCCATATTGGGTATAGAGATTACTTAAAAATAAAATCTTAAAAAAAAAAAAGGAGGGGAAGCCTTAGTTTGGGAAGATAAAGACAGAGAGGGAGTGAGATTGGAGGCCAAGCAGCTGGGAATAATAGTTTAAGGCAAATTTGGACTTGTTCACCAGACCTCAGAACCGCTGGGCAAGTGTAAAGGAAGGGTAGTGAAGCCCCACCTTTTCTTTCTTTCTTTCTTTTTAATTAAAAAAAGATTTTTTTTAAGCAAGCTCTACACCGAACATGGGGCTTGAACTCATGACCCTGAGATCAAGAAGAGCACATTCTACTGACTGAGCCAGCCAGGCACCCCTTGAAGGCACATCTCTTAACTGCACAAAACTCATCTGCCCTGAGAGGTAAGGCTAACTGGATTCAAAAACTGTTCAGAGCAACCCACAGATGAACGTGCCACAAAACTAGGTTTGTGATGAATCAGGTCCTGGGGCATATTCCTGTTGCCTTCATCAGTTCTCCAAAGAAGGAGAAGCAATAGGAGACAGGGAGGCTTCCAAGTCCCATGGTCAGCTGTCTGTGGGCTGGAGACCCTGGCGGGGAGCTGACGGTGTATGTCCGGTTCAAGTCTGGAGATCTCCCAGAACCAGGAGCACGGATGGTGGGAGAAGGATGTCTGTCTGAGCTCAAGGAGAGAGCAAATTTGCCTTTCTCCTTTTGTTCTATCCAGGCCCTCAATGGATTGGATGATGTCCACCCACACTGCTGACAAGGATCTTTACTCAGTCTACCTATTCAAATGCAATCTCTTCCAGAAAAAAACCCTTACATGCACATTCTACCAGCTATCTTGGCATCCCTTAGCCCAGTCAAGTTGACACATAAAATTAACCATCATGCCTGTCTTGTTCAAATGCCCCTTCCAGAGACAGGGCTGGGCTGGGCTGGTACCAAAGAAGGTTCGGCACTTAGGCGTGATCTAGTCCAGTCTTCTCCAGGGATGGCCATTCTCCTCCTAGTTCCAGCCACATCTCACCCAAAGCACTGGGCTCCATGCTCAGAGACAGGCAAGCAGGGCAACCTTGCTGAATCTTGTCTTTTCAGAGGAAGACAAGATTCACATAGAAAGAGAGGCGCACAACCACTTTGCTGGAGAGAGGGAGACCTTTCTGGGAGGTAAATGGGCATTATATTTCAAGGCCCTGAAGATGTGTGCCTTCCCTGACATGACAACTCCACTTATAGAAGTGATCTAGAAATAACCAGTGATGCAGATCAAGATCTAAGGACAAGGCAGTTCATCGCGGCATTATTTTTAACAACAGAAAGCAGGTAACCTCAGTGACCAATGGTGGAAGACCAGTATAATAAATTATGGTACAACCACGTGATGGCATATCCTAGAGCCGTTAAAACTGTTTTCTCAAAGAACGTTTGAGGGGCACCTGGGCGGCTCAGTCGGTTGAGCATCCGACCCTTGATTTTGGCTCAGGTCATGATCTCGGGGTCCTGAGATTGAGCCCCTCATTGGGCTCCATGCTTAGTGCGGAGTCTGCTTGTCCCTCTCCCTCTGCTCCTTCCCCAACTCTCACTCTCTCTCTCTCTCAAATAAATAAAATCTTAAAAAAATAAAAGGAATGTTTGAATCAATGGGGAAATGCTCGTGGCATATATCACAGGGCAGTTCAGTCCAATACAGTTTTTTTTTTTTTT